ATAACCAGCCGTTGTGAGAATTGGGCAAAAACAAATGTTCTTAGTGTAATTTCTTTTTTGGTTGAACGTTCAGATATATTCATATAGAGCAGAATGAAAGGCGAAAATGCTGCATTATGGCCACTAGATGGAGCTGAAGATCAAATAAGTACATGTTACGTTAGCAAGGAGATAGATTGTTACATTTCAAGGGGCTGCTGGAGGGAACGAGCATATAAATGTAACCAGTATACTGCGGGGATAGCAAAGGTTAAATTGATATGGTTTTACTATGTTTTACTAAACATGGCTCTTTTACTAAATTACATTGAGAATGTGAATCACCCAAAAAAACCCCATAAGGGTCTACTCACTAAGCTGCCGTAGGCAGCCGAATGAATGACCGACCTGAAGTGAACACTGTTCGGCTATTCACTTCAGGCCGGTACGGCTAATTTCAGCCGTATATCGGCTGAAATCAGCCGTACATCGGCTTGCTTTGCATGGCTTCGGGTCGGCCGAACATGCTCAGCATGTTCGGCTGACCCGAAGTGCAGAAGGAGTTCGACTCAGCCGATCCAACATCTGGATTGGCTGAGCCGAACCTCCGGCATGCTTATCACTGCTGTTCGGCCTATTCTTATAGATGCCGAACAGCAGTGAGTGAATAGCCAAATGCCGCTGAGCTTTCTCTCCTTGGCGAACGGGAGCGGGAGACTCCCGGAGTGCCAGGGAAAGTTTGCTGTTTAGAGATCAGTGTCCCTGGTTAGCAGGTAACCAGGGACGCTGATCTCTCTGCAAGTGGCCGGAGCCAGCCGTAAGATCACGGCTGGCTCCGCCCAGGTGACAGAAGCAGGCTGTCGGCCGGCCAATGGCCGGCCGCTCGACCAGCTTCGGCTTTCAGCGCGGCTCAGCCGAGCCGGGGCATATGCGTTCGGCTCGACTGAGCTGCACAGCCACATTCGGGAGCTGTACGGGCTATAGTGAATAGCCCGTACAGCACCCCTTCGGTTCTACTGAACCGAAGGGGTCCTAGGGCCGAAGCTAGCCGAAGGATCGGCCAAAGCTACGGCTAGATCCTTTGGCAGCTTAGTGAATAGACCCCATAGCTTGACTTTGCAGATAATTATTAATAATGTTTATTACATATTGCTTTGTCCTACTGAATAGGCCTGTAAAGATAATAAAGTATAGTGAAATTGCTTCTGGGAAGCTTAGTAAATATTCACAGGATTTCATTAGTCCACATATGGGCAAGACTTGTGCTAGCTTTAAGTCTGTGGCACTTGGGCAGAGCAGAGTGTAGGCTGGTTGGATGAAAAGCAGCGATTGTATTACTGTACTGTGACCATTTTGCACAGCAGACTATGAATATCACACGACTGCCAGATATTATTCCCCACTTCCGTGCCAGTTCAGAAACCAGGCGTGAAATGTTCTACTTCTGATCTTCTGATATTTAATATAAGCTGGGGTTATTCTACTTATGCTTTTTGTGTTCTTATATAATATAATGTTGTAGTGGCAAGACAGATAAAAGGTAACTAATTAAAACTTTTAAAACATTTGTGTTTCCATGCACGGATTTCCTTCAGATCAGAGATGGGAGTACGGAGCAGATGTCATCGCTGCGACATCCGTGTCTGACCATTTTTTGCCTCCAATTTGTGATGGATGGAAAAACTGAAATTACTGTACCCCATGCCAGTCTATGGGGAATCGGATTTAAATGGACATATATGGGATTAGCACTGATCTTGCACAATCAGGTGTGGCGAAATGGATCTTAGATCTGTTTGTTTTTTCTGGACCTGGCCGAACGCCAATCCGTTGACACACAACTGCGCATAGACTAACATTGAGCATCATATTGGGCGCGCTTGAAAAACTGACAGGACCGCCACTGTGAAAGGGACCTTACAGTAACAGAGCAAAGAAAACACCATTAGAGGGCTGGAGAGGGTTAGAACTTCTCAATATTTTATTGTTTTCTATGATCTTCTTGGGGAGATTCCTCTGTCTTTCCCCAACTGGGACAGTAGTAAAAAACTGACAAAGGTTTTAATTTCTCTTATTCTATCCAAAAATAAGAAAATACACTTTAAATACTGTGGGGGAATATTTATCAAAACTGAAGCAGACAGAATCTGGAGCAGTTGCCCATGTCAACCAATCGGCTTTTATCTTCAGTTTGTTCAGTTAAGATTTGAAAATGAAAGATAGAAGCTGATTGGTAGCCATGGACAGGTGCTCGAGATTTTGTCTGCACCAGTTTTGATAAATTCCCCCCAATATATATCCTAACCCCTTGCCGCTGACTTCTGGCGGCCCTTTAAGTGGATCTTAACACCGGGGGTTGGGCTTCATGATCATGTGATTGCTGCGATTGGCTGTCACAGTGGGCACATGATTGGCAGTTGTCCTATTGGCTCCTGAATGTAAACAGTGAACGGGAGCTTTCAGTGGCAGCTTGGTTACTGTGCGTGTGCCAGTGAGCGCCCTCTCAGCACAGAACAGCAGGCCGGCTGACACACACACAGCCAGCATTGAGGCCCACCCGCCAGGGTGACACATATATGCATTACGCTGGTGGGTAGGTAATAATATGTGTTAGTAAACTCTACTTGCTTATAAAGAATTCTACCTCACTAGAGGGGATTACATCTTGAAACATTTTCCTTTGTTGCCTTGTTTCTTTTGCTTTTTTTATTTGTGTCTTATATACACTACATCTGAACTTGTGATACTTGTACCACCAAGAACACATATATTGATCAAGGAATGTGCATGGGAAATCTAAGTCACGATTAATGTGCAGCATAGCCTTCTGGAAGAATATACTCACTGTTCTGTCAGCTACCATTGACAGCTTCTAGAAGTGGCAGCTTAAAATCTATGTGAACCCTAAATCTATTTTTCAGTATGTGTGGTTTCATACCTCACTGTATACAGTTTTCTTAAGCAAATTTTTTTTTTCTGAATCTGCTGCAAAGTTTTCTACCTGGAGACTCTTCCAGTAACATCCCTTTCGGTTGCAGGCTGACAACACTAAGCCACTGCCTCCCAGTTAGCAGGAGCGTTGTCAAACTGCTGTGTATACTCTGCATTTGTTTGTTAGGCTATCTGATAGACACGATAGGCAGCCCAATGGCCACCTGAAAGAGCGTGCACGGCAGTCTGATAACACTGCTAATTGCAAACCAGTGACATAGGGTGTTATTCACTATGCTGCCAAAGGCAGCCAAATGAATAACCAAGCCATAGTGAAGGGAGCCGAAGCATGTTCGTGTATTCACTGCAGCCATGTACAGCTATTCTTAGCTGTAAATCGGCTGCATTCGGCTCACTACACCTCCCTCCGGCTTGGCCGAACAGCACGAATTGAAGGGAAGACCCCTTTCGCCTCAGCCGATGCAACATCTGGATCGGCCGAAGCGAACGTTCGGCACTTCATTCCCTGCTGTCCACCCCTATTCTCCAAGTGGCTGAACAGCAGAGAGCTCAGTAGTGAAGCAGAATGCAGAAAGCAGAATAGAATTTCTATTCTATTTTTTGACAAGATTCAGGGATTTGGTCCGCTTCGGAGGACCTCTCCGCTCCGGCTGTTTGTTCGCCTTTGCCTAGCAGAAGCATGTGCGTTCGGCTCAGCTGTTTACTTCAACTGCTGGACGGGCTATTGAGAATAGGCCGTACAGCAGCCCTTCGACTTGCCTGAACTGAAGGGTTTCTGCAGCCGAAGCGAGCCAAAGGATTAGCTGAACGTTAGGCTACGTCCTTCGGCTCGTTAGTGAATAAATTAGTGCCATCAGCCTGTAACAGGAAGAGTTATTACTGGGAGGATCTTCAAGTAAGAAACTTTGCAAAAGATTCATTAAAAATATTTTCTTAAGAAAAAGCTTTACATCCATTCAGTAGTAAATATCCAACCTAAAGTACCTATTTATCCCTTGTCATTTGGGCCATCGCAGTGAAGTTTTAAAGCGTGTCTAGACCCAAATCTACAAATGTAATAGATTGCAGCTTATCACTTTCTTAGATGAGGTGTCTGCATTGGTTTTCTATTTTCTGACTTTTTCCTGACTACATCAGTACAACAGAACATCAGCTTACTACATCAGTACAACAGAAACAGGACTACTGGGAACTCCCGCTGTCGTTTTGTACATAACATAGAAGGGCAGAGCCCTGTAGTCCTCAGAACAATATAACTGATAACAGTGCAGCAGAGGCAAAGTGCACAGGATGATATCAGCTTAAAAGATTTCTGGCAGGATCAACAGATATTTTATGGATTTATATAACAGATATAACAAAATGCTTTCAATGGTATATTTGAAGAATACTTGCCCTTGCAGTGGGGCTATCCCAGTGCTGCTAGTGTTAAAGGCTTGTTTTGCCTAGGGGGCTCAAATAAAGCAGATATACTCATCTGATCCATGGTCCCCGGGCCTCTAGACCTAGCTCTGGCACTCTAAGGACTGCTGGTGTCATCCTGTTTAATACAGCTCCATTGACCTGAATTAGAGGTGCCAAGGGACATACAACAGGCGGAATTGAGGGGGAGAAATTTGAGTGCTGACTGCCATGGGACTGAGGATCAGGTCAAAAATACAGTTTTATTTGAGCCCCTTTGACAAAACAAGCACTTAACCCTTGCAGGGTAGGGATAACAGCCCCACTGCAGGGGTACTTTTTTAAATTCCCAGACTTCTTTAACAGACCAAAAGGGAGCAGATAAGAGATGTTCATGTTTAGTGTTTACGTACACATTATTCCTCATACCAGGGATGTCTGCTTTTTAAGGCATGAAGGTCATTTTGGAGAGGGAATTTTATTAATTTACTGAACACAGACTGTGTTAGAACATGTTGGGATGGGGATGAAGTACAGTTCAAGTACAAATGATAGTACAGGTGGTACAAGGACACTGCAAAGGTAGTGATAGTGATACAACACGAAACACAGTTCTGGTATTACTGCCACATTGTACTCATATGTACGTATTCTGTCATTGGTTTCAGGTGGAAATTATAGACTGCAAAACAAAGCAGCAATTGTGCTTTCTAGACAAGGTAAGAGTCATAGCAATACAGCCGGATCACGAGAATAATTTTTTTTAAATAATTGCATTTAACAATTAATGACCACCTGACGTTTGTAGGCAAATTAGCTATAATTTTGCACTGAAGTTGCTAGAGGGCCAGACCATTACAAATAGGGAAGCAGGTGGTTTAGCACAACAGTAGGTGATTTTTTTTCTAAAGATATGGGTAAACAACGCGATTTAGCAGCCTTTGAACGTGGGATGATTGTTGGCGCTCGGAGCCATGGAGCGAGTATCAGCAAAACAGCAGAATTCATTAAATGTTCAAGAGCAGCTGTTGTTAAATTGTTTAAAGACTGGACTGTCAGCCGAAAATCTGGTTCTGAACGTGCGAATTGTGGCCGTCAGTGAGTAGTCAATGTTGTGGCAGAACGGAGAGTGGAAAGACTGGTACAAGACAACAGAAGGGCAACAGTGCAGTGTCAGATTCCTCGCATCACCTTTCATCATCTCGTGGAGTCATGAGGCGGCCCAACGAAGTCATCTTGTGGAGTCATCTCGTGGCCCAATGAAGTACTGATGGGGTGGTCATAATAATCTGGCCACTCAGTGTAAAAAGCATGTGCATGTAGACTTTGGGTGTTAAGAGTTGACCCTGAGACACAAAAATGTAAAACGTGAATTCTGATGGTTTAAACAGTGGACTATAACTGCAAGATTTGCTTAAATTATTTTAGTAGCATGTCTTTTGTGTAACTTTGACAAACAAGGCCATAAAAATGTGAGAACATTTTTCACTGGCATTGTCAATTAAAGGAGAACTATGAGGTGAGTGATTTTTACTCACCTCATAGTTCTAGCCGACCTGTGATAATGAGACTTTCACAGGTCGGCTCAGTAGATCGGGAGGTGAGCGAACACATACCGGCGTTCGCTCACCTCTCGATCCTGTCACAGCTCTCTGCCGTGACAGGGGAGGGGCTGGATTCCCCCCTGCCTGCTCCGATCCGCCAGCGCTGACTGGCGGAACGGACTGGGTAGGGGGCAGGTACAGCTGGCTCTGCCTTTACATAGGCAGAGCCAGCTGTCAGTCACGCAGCTGGGCGGATCCCCGCACAATTGTTGGGATCCGCTTCAGCGTCTCAGTATACCGCTAATGGCCGCTCGCGGTATACTGCGGCGTCTCAGTATACCGCGAGCTATAGCGGTATACTGAGCCTAGGGTGATGGGAGGATGCTAGTTTGTGTCCTCCCGTTACCCTAAGGAAAACTATGGGGAAAAGACTTAACCCCATAGTTCTCCTTTAATGTGTGATCCAAAATAGTGATTACAGTGGCAGGGATGAAAAAAAAAAAATTTCCTTTCAGCTAACACACTCACACTGACAAGCCATGCCTGGGTAAAAATAACTGTCTGGGCTGAAACAAAAGACCTGTTACATACCAGCTATCCATCACTGCAGACACTGTGGTCATAATAATCTGGCCACTCAGTGTATATTATTATTGTTATTGTTTTTTGTTTTTTTTAATAGGTAGAACCTAATCTTACAGTTAGCGACATAAAGCTGATGTTTCATAAATGCTGTAAGTATTGCTCTTTGTCTCTCTCTTTTTTTGTCTGTTTGCAGTGTATAAGTCAGGGGAGGGAGGTATCATTTTAATGAAAGCTGCAGATGTAAAAATATTGAAATTGAACCCATTCACACCTGAGCATCACGCTGTTGTCGCCTTACAAACTCCTTTTTTCATCTTATAAACAAATAACATAAAGGGATCTATTTATGAACAACCGCAGAGGCATTCAGCTTCGAATCTCTGTGAATGTCCGTTCTGTAAGAATAGAGGCAAAAATTAACGTTCTTAGTATATTCTCTTTTAGGTCAAATGTAATATAATTAGAGGTTCACCAAAATGGAAATTTTAAAACCGAAATAAAAAAAATGTCAGGCCGAAAACCGAAACCGAAAATGTTTTTAGCAATAGCACATTATGGCCGCTACATAGCGCAATACTTATTACTTATGCTCCTCAGCTCATCTATTGGCCAGGGCAAATGACGGTTCTCAGGACAAATGGCTCTGCAAATTGTTTATAATTAAGTGTTTCCAAAGTGTTTCCATTATCAGACGATCAGTGGTTACTTACGGGTCTATTCACTAAGCTGCCGTAGGCAGCCGAGTGAATGACCGACCTGAAGCGAAGTGAGCCGAACGCTGTTCGGCTATTCACTTCAAGCTGGTACGGCTGATTTCAGCCATATATCGGCTGAAATCAGCCGTACATAGGGTGGCTTCGCATGGCTTCGGGTCGGCCGAACATGCTAAGCTCGAAGTGCGGAAGGAATTCGACTCAGCCGATCCAACATCTGGATCGGCTAAGCCGAAGCTCGGGCAGGCTACTCGCTGCTGTTCAGTCTCTTCTTATAGGTGCTGAACAGCAGTGAGTGAATAGCCGAATGCCGCAGAGCTCCCTCTGTGGGACCGAGCAGAACAGAAAAATAGAAAAAAAAATTAGAAAAAAAAAATAGAAAATGATTGTGCGGAGCTAGCAGTGACAGCTAGCTCCGCCCAACTGTTTTCTATTGGCCGGCGGTTCTGCTGCCGTAAAAAGAAAACAAAAAAAACATTTTCGCTATAGGAATGCATTGAATGCATAGCAAACTAGCTATTGTATCCGCCCTCTGCTGCTGTGAATCAATAGTGGGGACCTGATGGAGAACTGCAGCAGTTGGCGGGTACAATAACTAGTTTTCTATTGGCTATTGCAAATTGAAATAGCCAATAGGAATCTAGCAAGGCATTCCTATGGTGATTTTTTTTTTTATTCTGACGCCAGCCAACGGCTCCGTGTTAGAATCAAAAAGAAAAAGCAGTGTTTCTCTCCTGGGCGCCCAGGAGAGTTAGGCTGTCTGGAGATCAGTGTCCCTGGTTAGCTGGTAACCAGGGACGCTGATCTCTCTGCGAGTGGCCGGAGCCAGCCGTAAGATCACGGCTGGCTCCGCCCAGCTGTCAGAAGCAGGCTGTCGGCTTTCACTTTGGCTCATTCGAGCGGAAGCATATGCCTTCGGCTCGACTGAGCCGCCCGGCCGACTTTGGGAGCTGTACGGGCTATACTGAATAGCCCGTAGAGCAGCCCTTCGGTTCTACTGAACCGAAGGGGTCCTGGGGCCAAAGCGAGCCGAAGGATCGGCCAAAGCTACGGCTAGATCCTTCGGCAGCTTTGTGAATAGACCCCTTAGTATCACAAATTTAGCATCATAAACTATGAAATACACACTTGGATCTAGCCATGTAGATTAATTCAATAAGGTGACGCACTGAAGAATGATGATGTGCAAAGCTCAGTACAATGCAGAACAAAGCAGGTTTCAGCTTACCGAAGATCAATGAAGGCTGAATTCAGATTATGTCAAAAAAGCCGGATTATTATGCATGTCACATAGTAAGCATTTTAAAAGTAAATGCACGTTCACTATAAATTATGCACATGTACTTTGCCCTGCAGCCTCTGAAAAAATCCCAATATAGTATCCTTTACTGAACATACAGTGCAGCGATAAAGTTTGTGAACCCTTCTGAATTCTCAATATTTCTGCATAAATATGACATAAAACTTGATTTGCTTTTTAGTCCTAAAACTAGATACAAGATTCCAATTGAACAGAGGAGTCAAAAACATGATATTTGTTTATTTATCTATATATTCATGTATTTATTGAGGGAAACAATCTAAAGTGACATATTTGTGTGTGGAAAAAGCATATGAACCTTAAGGGCCTGTTCACACGACGTCCGCTTTCTGTGCTGACCTGATCCGTACGCTCCTGCACTAAAAATGCATCCCAATGTATCCCTATGTGTTTTATGGGCTCCAGTTCTCACGTGCGCAGTCCGTTCAGGTTACGGCAGAAAAAATACTGCATGTCACATTTTGTCCGGCCAGGAAACGGACCGGAAACGCAAAATGCGTCAAAAACGCACTGCATTGCAGCTAACATACTGACAGCCCCTCTCCAGCAAAAGAAAAAAATGTTTTAAATTGGAACGCATCAAAAACGCAGCTAAAACGTGGCAAAAACGCACTGCATCAGTAGCACCGCGTCTGCAGATCCGCACCTGAGCAGGACCTGATATCATGTGAACAGGCCCTAAGTATTCTCTGTGCGTTTGAAGGGGAAACTGGAGTCAGGTGTTTCAATCAATGAAATAAGATGTGAGAGACCCTGCTTTGTTTAAAGCACAGGGTTATTCACAAAAGGGTGAAGAGTTTGGAGAAGGCAGGAGAAGTAAACAATCTAGGAACATAACTGAACTGGAAAGTGAGCTGAATTGGAGAATTTTTCTAGTTCAGCTATGTTGTCCTAGATCGTTTACTTCTCCTGCCTTCTCCAAACTCTTCACCCTTTTGTGAATAACCCTGTCAATGAGAGGGATTTGTAGTTTCACCATAGCTGGAGTGCCAAGGTTGCCTGCCCCTGCTCTATATGAAGTGCAGGGATTGTGCTTTAGCCCAGTGATCTGAAACCCACATCCAATTCTAAAATCAATTGTACCCAAGTGGCATTAATTGTATGTGGGATTAATGTATCTGCCAGCATTCGCTATTTCAATAATGACACAGAGGGTAGATTTACTTTTTTACTTTCTTTTGTTTGAAGTTTATTAAATTGTCTGTTATTTGTTTGACATTAAAATACTTTTTAAATGCTAAAACCAATGCCAGTCTACAAGGAAAGCTGAAGGAACAAATAGCATTAGTAATTATTATTACCTTGTTCAACATCATTTCCAAAATATTTCAGTCTACTAATACATCAGCAGAGCACTTATCCATGCAAGCTGAATTCTAGATTCAGAAACTGAGTTTTTTTTTTTCATTTTAAATCATTGTTTTTTTTTTTTTACATAGCATAGCATTCTGCTGTGGAGTATGTGACCCATGATTTCCTTTCAGGTTAGCTATAAACATTAAGTGCCATCAATTCTTTAATTCACTGGGCTTTTACCATCAGAATTCTTGAATAGCAGGAGTTGTATAAGAACCGATTCAGCAATCTGGCTGGGCATTCTGCTGATGCATTTAAATGAAAAATGACACTCACATATCCATTATACCATCCAAATGGATTGTATGAGTTCAAACGTTGGAAAAAGAATAAGTGTATATCCAGGTCTTTTGGTATAAATCACATTCTACGTCAGTGTGAATCATCTGGAGATTGTTAAGGAATAATGATTAAGTGATAGATTCATTTAATCATCTTAGAATACGGCTGTGGTTTACTTTTGCAGTGTGAGATTCGATGGTTAATGCTTGTGTCATTTTTTTTCCAGATCCTCAATGGTATCCAGCAAGACAGTCAATACGGTTAGATCCCAGTATGTTGGGGAATTCATTTCTGCTGTAAAATGTTTCATAGCCAATAGTCAGTCTTCCATTTTGTATGAAAAGGTAACTATAATGGTTTTGGGTCAATATTTAGTTAACTCTTTAAAAATAAATACTCTTAGTATTTTTATGCATTTCTGAACTGATTTTTTTTATATCTGTAAAAAGCAGCCTTACAGAGAGAGGAGGAATGAGGATGATCAGTCACTGCTCTGACTCAGTTAGCTGTGTGCGCAATTTCAGCTTGAGGTATTGAACTCTGTAAACAAAGGGGTCTATTCACTAAGCAGCCAAAGGATCTAGCCGTAGCTTCGGCTGATCCTTCGGCTAGCTTCGGCCCCAGGACCCCTTTGGTTCAGTAGAACCGACGGGCTGCTGTACGGGCTATTGAATATAGCCCGTACAGCTCCCGAAGTTGGCCGGGGGGGCCCAGTCGAGTCGAAGGCATATACCTCGGCTCGACTGAGCATTGGCCGACCTACAGCCTGCTTTTGACAGCTGGGCGGAGCCAGCCGTGATCTTACGGCTGGCTCTGGCCACTTGCAGAGAGAGTGCCAGGTAACCAGGCACACTGATCTCCAGACAGTCTCCCGCTATTAGATAGCGGCTCCCGGCTGCCCAGGAGAGAAAAACTTTCTCCGGTAAAGTTTTACTCTGCTCGATCGAGCAGAGTAAACATTTCCCTGATTTTTTCCTTTTTTTTTTATTCTGACATGGAGCCATTGGCCACTGTCAGAATAAAAAAAAAAACAATTCATCATAGGAATTCATTGCTAGATTCCTATTGGCTATTTCAATTTGCAATAGCAAACTAGCTATTGCACCCGCCCAAGTTTTTTTTCTACTTTTTAACAATTTTGCTATTCTGCTCGATACCACAGAGGTACCGAGCAGAACAGCTGAGCCGAATGCCGCTCAGCGGCATTTGGCTATTTACTCACTGCTGTTCGGCATCTATGAGAATAGACCGAACAGCAACGAGTAGCTTGCCTATATATACTGCTGGAATCAGCCGTACAAGCCTGAAGTGAATAGCCAAACAGCGTTCGGCTCACTTCACTTCGGGTCGGTCGGTCGTTCACTCGGCTGCCTATGTAATTTTGCATATTCACCTGACTAAAAAATAAATATATTTTTGAAACTAGTTTTTTTAGCCTTAATTATATTAAAGCAGAACATTCTTCTTAACCCTTGCAGTGGACCTACCCATTTTGCTCATTTTGGTCTAGGTGCAAAAATAAAGTTATTCTCACCCGCTCCCCGCAGCCTGTCTCCTCCTTCATCCCAGCGATGCAATGTCCCTCAGTATCCTCATGTCCAATACATGCATAGGACATGATGCTGGCGTGGAGGGGGAGATCCAAGGACCGGTCTAACAGCCAGCTGGCTCTAAGGCAGTGGTTCTCAACCTTTCTAGGGCCGGGACCCCTTGGTAACATTTGCCAAGTTGTGGTGACCCCCAACGGTAAAATTTAGGGTTGACGCGGCTGCTGCAGCGACATCTGGCGGCGTGACGGGAGAACGGACACTGCTGCGCAATGAGAGGGCTGAGGAGGACTCTCACCTAGCACAGCAGAAATCACACAGCGACCCACAGGTTGAGAACCACTGTTGTAACAGCTAAAATGGCAAACCATATAACACAAGCCGAGGGTGTCAGCTTGTATTATTAATAATAATGATGATAATCTAATAGCTATCTAATAGTGGGAGACTCCCGTCGACCCCTGGCAAATTGTCATTCGACCCCCGAAGCGGTCCCGACCCACAGGTTGAGAACCGCTGCTCTAAGGATTGGGTATAACTTTGTTATTTTTGCACCTAGACCAAAATGAGCACTTAACCCGTGCAGGAAGGGGGTAGCCCCACTGCAAGTGTTAAGAAAAAAGTATTTAAAGAAAATCCCCTCTAAAGGTACTGGATAGCTGGTTTGCTAGTGTGTACATCTATCCTTCAACCAGAACAAGAAGATTTTTTATTTTTAGAAAAATATTTTTCTTTAGTCAGGTGAATATGAAATATAGAGTAGTATGATTTTACTTTCTGCTGTTGAGCCAGCAAGTGAAGCTTTTGGCTCCTTTTTCTGTTTTAAAGGGACTCCTTCCTTATCAGACACCTCAGTTGAAAGTTTCTATCAGAAAAAGTTTTAGTACTCAGGGAATCCCTTGCTATGTATTTAATTGTACAACAAAAGTTGTTTCATTGTAACAGAAAACAGATAAAAAACAACAGCTTATAAATAAAAAATAACATAATTGACCCAAAACCATTATCGTTTCCCTTTTAATAGATTAAAGCACTATTTGTATGAGTGGATACCTTGTTCCTGCTGCAGTGGTAGATATTTCCAACACTGGAATACCTCTACAAGCAACAACAATCACTTTTGATGCTTATGCAAGCTTTTTGATAGTCACCAGTTAATGCTGATAAGTTATTGCAAGCAATGATTGGACTGGTTTATTATTGGTCAAAAAAGTGCAAATTAAAGGATATGTGCACTTTAAAAATAATCTTTGCCCCCTTTCTCTGACTTAACTTTGACCACCTTTCCCCTCACTAGATGCATACTTACCTTAATCTGACTACCATGGCCTTCTGTGTTTCTTTACACCCCATGCCACAATGTCCTGGTTGTGGCTGTGCAGTAGTTCCCCATAAACATCTATGGGTAAGCATTCCTAGCCTCTGCAGCCTCAGCCGATGAGTCTGTAGCAGTTTATACGGATACACTGCACATATACAGCCAGGACACTGAAGCCTTGTGGCCCAGAATGCAAACACTGGATGCCATGTTCTTCAGTTTAGGGTAAGTATGTATCTAGGGAGGGTGAAGTTAGGTCAGGGAAAGGAAGCAAAAATAATAAGTGCACTTTGTTTAAAGTACACTTGCTCTTTAAGGCTAAATAAATACATGACCTTAATAGCAAGCTTAGGGTAGTAGATTAATTATCCAGTTTTATGGCAGTGTGAGGTATATTTGGGAAACTGGATTGCTCTGCGCCTTTATAAATGACTTGCCATTTTCTCTATACATTTGTTTTTTTCCACTTCTGCTAGGCTTGCCTGCTGCATTGGCAGCTGTTTGAGAATCACAGATTTATTACATCTTTATTTTCAAGTAATTCTTCCCATATGCTTGTTACAGAAGGCAGATCACTGAAAGATGAAGAAATACTGCAGGACCTTCCAGTTGGCACAACAGCTACCTTATATTTCAGGGATCTGGGCCCACAGATTGGATGGACTATGGTACTATAAAGAATATTCCTTTGAATAATTTTGCAGATGAATACCTCAGGAAATGTTTTATGGGATAAAATGTTGTAAGCAATTACTACTATAATGGCAATTACCAAAGTTTGAATATCTTTTTCTGGAGTTATGTGGGTGCAACCCTCTGTAGATTTAATGTGGCCCTTTCAAGATTTCTTTGGCCCACTGCTTCATTTGAGTTTGACATGCTTGCTTAACACCATTCAACAAAGAAGCAAAAATGTGGAACTATAGACACTATATGATACAGCTGATGCTGTATACCATCCTACCTCCATGGAGAAACAAGAAAGTGAGTGAGAGAGAGAAAGACAGATAAATAATTAGATTTTTTGAGCCATGCTATGTGATATTGCAGGTGACAAGTGGCATATCTACAGTATATTATTATTATTATACAGGATTTATATAGCGCCAACAGTTGGCGCAGGGCTTTACAATATAAGGAAGACATTACAATACAATTCAAGACAAGATGGTAAGGAGGGCCCTGCCCGAGAGAGCGTACAATCTAAAAGAGTATAGCTTTATTTTCACATGTGATAATAGTGCTGTATTCATAAACCACAAAAAAGTTTATGCAAGTATTAATGCCTGTAATGTTTTCCGAACAATGATGATGTCTGATCCACAACCAAAAATTAGGTCATAAAATAACTAGTGTCACATGGTTCTGCAAGATACTTGTCATGTTGCAGGAGCTCTGTAGGACTTTAAAGATATTTTTTCTGCTTACAAAAAGAAAGCTTGTCTCCTCTTTCACCCTTTGGGTGCCATATCAACACACCATTCATCAAGGATGGTATTCCTATGGCATGCCTCCAGCTTAGGGGTGCTTTAATTGGTAAAACCAGGGCCTTCTACATATACACACGGGGAAGGAGGTTTCCAATCACAGTAATCTTAATGATATATATATCCCATTGGTGGGTCTCCTATATTATTTTAAAATAATGGCCACATGTCCCTTTAAGGGAGATCCCACCACCATACAAATGATGCAACCATAATTTTAGATATAAAATTTCATATAATTATTAAACATCTGAAACAGCATATTAAAAGACATTTAAAAGTATGTACCACACAATCATTACACTTGGCTATCCATAAACAGGATAAATCTTTTAAATATGGACCCCAAGGATGTCCAAATCTGCTAAAGATCAAGTATTATGCACAAATTCCTTGTTTCTAATTATGGGTAAACAATCCAAAATATCCTAGGTAGTAGAAACGACACAAAGAAACCTGTGTATAGCATATACACGAGCCAAGGAGACTTATGATATCCTAAACATCCAAAATACCAAGATCTAGTCCATATCACATCTCCATGAGTGTGAAGTAATGCAACATTGAATGAATGGCTGGTAAAACCAGGGCCTTCCCTATAATTAGGCAGTTCCCTCAGGTGGCATCTCATTGGGTCAAGTGGGGGGCGGTAGGTGTGCATGCCACCCCCTGTCTGGCCAAAGCGTCTCAGGTTGGTAAGAGCTCCTAGCAACCTGTAAAACTCTATCCGGCATCCTTCCCAGCTCAAATACATCACTGGTTGGCAGGAGCTGAGCTGGACACTCTGACTGGCATCCTGCCCAGCTCCTGGCAACCAGTGACATCAGTGAGCTGGACAGAACGCTGAACAGAGCATCACAGGTTGCAAACTGGGACGCTCTGGCTTCCCGACAGTGCTCACCTTTAGCACCACCATTCTAGTAACCCCCCCTTTCCCCCCCTGGAACCCCCCCAGACCATGCACCAGCAGCACTGCCCCCCTTCCAGGCTCAGGCGGCGAAAAGTGTAGGGACACCCCTGTGCAAAACCTATTTTGTTCGCACTCCCGTTGCAGCAGTGGACTCTTGAAATTGTATAGTATTGCTCCTTTTTTGGACACCACTTTGTACAAGGCAAAACTCTTTTTTCAATAGAGTAGGGAAGGGTGAAACCCTTCCTTCTGGAGGGTGGCTACTTTTGTTCCCCATGGTCCCTATTTGTTCTGTAAAGTAGCCACCGCTCCAAGCTCGCTCCAGTGATGGACTACAATCTCATGTTTGGTTTACTAATTTGTATTGAGATTGTAGTCCATCACGGGAGCGACCTTGGGGCGGTGGTTACTTTACAACACACACAGGCACCATGGGGAACAAAAGTAGCCACCCTCCAGAAGGAAGGACATTGTCAGCACCAATATAGAGATGATTTGAGGATCTACAGCTGAGTGATACACAAATAAGCAATATTTTTGTTAATAGTTAAGGTACTTGAATGCATTTTTAATATTTAACTCCTGGGTTCAGTGTCACTTTAAGCTGTTGAGACTGTAATGGTAAAACAATAAAGTTTTTTTATTAAAGGGCTGGTTGAATTTCTTGCAACTATCAAAATCCAAAGATCCAAAGATGTTCTAGATTGTAAGCAGGGTCCTCCTAACCATCTTGTCTTGAAATGTATTGCAACTGTACTGTCTTCCTCTATATTGTAATCGCTGCAAAAACTGTTGGTGGTATATAAACCCTTTATAATAATAATTAGGGATGCACCGAAATTTCGGCCAAAAATGGCACTTTTGACAAAATGCCAAAAGTAGCATGCGGCCAAAAATTCCGTGTATCTTTAGCTTCTCTCCTCCCCGTTGGGTGCCAGTCTGTGTGCCTTCTGGTGTAGTGACCGGCGCCCAGCATGGAGGAGACAAGCTTTCAGGAGACCAAGCGGACGGTGACAGTGGTCAGGATGCCGAGCAGTGCGGGGAGTGACAGCTGTCATCATTACAGAAGGCAGAGCTCTCCTCCCACACCTCCCGCCTCCGCCTCTTGTGTCAGGATGGAGAGAGGTGAGTGGAGGAGAGTGCTGATCTCCTATGACAGCTGATTCAGGATGGAGAGTGGTATACAAACTCGCAGCGATCAGCTGATCGTTGAGAGTTTGTAAATAACTGGACTTAGTGTGCTTACTATGTCCCAGTTATGAATGAATAGGCAGTGATCTACATCACTTCCGGTTCATTCATGATTGTGGACATAGTAACTCATACTATATCCACAATGTATGAATGGACAGGAACACTCAGTATAGAGGCTTCCTGTTTATTCATAACAGGGGCTGCAGAAAAAGAGATTAAGGACTCTGTGTACTCAATCTCTTTTTCTATGTTAAACATGAAATATCAGGGGTTTCCCTAGAGCACCTAGCAGTGAAGTTTAAAAAAAAAGAAAAATAACTAAAAAATAAAATAAATAAAAAAATGTTAAAAAAAGGTTGGAAAAAAAGTGTCCGCTTTAGTTTCGGCCTGACAAATTTTTGTTTTTCGCTTTCGGTCTCAAAATTCAATTTCTGTGCATCCCTAATAATAATACTTGAGACTATTATAGCAGGGTTTTGATACAGGGAATTAATATGACTGCCTTTGTGGGATAAAGAAGGATTGGTCTCTCTGCAGAGTTCTGACATGTCCTCTGCTGAGTTAGAGACAGAGGTCTTTAATTAGTCGCTGAGCAGGGAACATGAACTTTGCAGATTGCAGGGCTATTGATCTGTCTCAGCAGGGGGTGTGTCAGACCTCTGCAGAAAGACAGCTGTTTCCTCACAGAGACCAAGGGTGCCACTCTGAAGCTGATGGCAAGGGACAGGCTTTTCCATTCAGGCTATAGCTGCTTTAGGAAATGTGTTGATGGGATTTAGTTCACTTCAACCACGTTTTACATACCCATACAAGTTAATGGGAGTGCAAAACCCCCTTAAAGCATGTCGAATGCATATCAAAAGGAGATCAACTTCAGGTTAAATGCACCTGTCAATGAATTTTGAATGTTCTCAGATGCATCTTCAACTGATGCCAAAATGATGCCATTACCACAAGCCCAAAGCCCAATGACACTCACGCTTAGACAGAAAATTAACTGTAAGACATTGATCACTGTCTGGAATGTATTTAGCTGATAGAAACTTAAAGTTCAAGTGGGCTTTAAACTATAGATTGTTTTTTACTTCTACATTCTCTTTCTCTTCTGTTTTAGGTTTTCCTAACAGAATACGCAGGCCCACTTTTTGTATATTTTCTGTTCTATTTCCGAATGCCTTTCTTCTACGGGTTAGCAAAGGCTTTTACATCCAGCCCACACTCTGTAGTACAGTAAGTTCTATGACCACAATATGGTTTATTATACAAGGTTTTTAGCCTTCTAAAACTTCTTTTTTAATTCCTCTGTAGCTTGGCATGCTGCTGTCATACGTTCCATTATATTAAAAGGTTGATTGAAACAATATTTGTTCATCGCTTTTCCCATGGGACGATGCCTCTGAGGAGCATTGTTAAGGTAAGGGCATTTCTAACACCGTTGTGTTAAATCAGATAAATGCTTAGTTCAGAAGTAGACTATAGCTGGGCTCAGCTAAAAGTGAGAACTATGGGGGATTTATTAATGATATCTCATACCAGCAAGCCTGTATTCACATAAAACAGTAAACGAGGTGATCTCATTCTCAGTGGAGGGCAGGGGGACACCTTTAACGCTGGCTTTAGCAATTAATAGTGGTATTCTAATTTATAATTTAGCTTATATACACTATGTCTCACAGAATATTGCTTCCTAGCTCCTATCAGGAAATGTATGCTTTTTGGCTCAATGCAAAACCTATGCATGTTATCCTGAATATACATCCCACTAAATTTGAATCCTTTGGTCTATAAAGCAGTGCAAAGTGCAGAAGTGCAGCTAGGTGGCAAATCCAGATATTTTGCCAGGGATAACAAGAACTACGTTTTCTTGTTATTCATATAACAGGGATTATTCATATCCAGGGATAGCTAGAACTAGAGACATAGAAGTGATAAAAATCTGACTGGAGTTTTAGCCTTCCCCAACTCCGCTAAAAGAGGTGTCCCCTCTCACCAGTAAAAAGTTGTCAGCAGTACAGGAAGTGAAGGAGAATCTCTCTAAAGGTGCCCATACACCTGCCGATTATCGTACGATAATTGCGGGTAATCCCACGATCTTACGATAATCGACAGTTCTACGGGCAGCGTGCGACCTCTTCTACTGTACGGTCGCACGACATTCGTCTTCCGAGCACGTTTGAAAACCTGCCGAAAATCGTACAATTTTCGTCGGGTTAGTGGCGTGCTCGGGAGACAAATGCCGCACGGGGCGGTGTGCCCGCTCAGCACTGCAATCATCGGAAGCTCTCCCCTCAGCGGGGGAGACTTGCGATGATCGCAAGTACGATCTGCCTTTCCAAGATGGGCAGATTGTACTAAATTTTGATTACCTTTCAACCATCGCACAACGAAAGTCGTGCGATGGTTGTAAGGTGTATGGGCAGCTTAACAGAGCCCCAGATAACAGTAAAAACCTAACAGGGATTCTAACCACTCCTCACCCTATTCAAAACGAAGAAAAACAGTTTTGGCTAGACTTATATTGTAGTTTAAGGCCTTATTCACATGGCTGTTCATGGCCGTACACCGGCCAAATCACCCCTTAAGTGATTGCATGCAAACAGATGCGGACATTGTCAACCTGTCATTGATGTGTACGGGGTCAGCGGCTGCAGCTAATTGAAAGCACTTGGCTGCATGCGCTGCACAAATTCGATGATCTGGGCGGTGTGTGGCTATGAACGGCTGAAAAATTACGTGAGATGTCACTTGGGTGTACATGGAAGATCTGGTTACCAAGAGATCTATCTAATAAAAGATCCTTCCACAAGCGTTTAAATTGGTATTGGGCAAACATGCATGTCTGTTTTTATGGAGAAGCAAACGGAGTGGTCTAGAGTCTGCTTTTAGGAAAGGCCTGCAGACATACAAACATTCCCCACTCCAACCCAAAAATGGCAGTCTAATGTCTGTAGCCATCTTTTAGAGATATAATGTAAAGATGTACCCATTACATCACAGCACCTTACACCACCCCCACCAGCTGTCCTTAGGGTTGAACGTAGATATAGAGAAATCATACCTGAGATACAGACAAACCGCCAGACAGTATGTACAGGACTTGACAGCGAGATATTCCATGGCTTGGACTCCACTGCTCATAATCTGTCACATATGCAGCAAACACTTATTCTCCTATAGCAGCTCCTGACGCAAGTCTTACAGTAGGTTCAGCAAAGTGTGGGCTATAGAATATGGGGTGCCAAGGCCCATTACTAGTGTCCAACCCTACGTACACACCAGGCAGGTTTTCTGTCTCTTGGGTATGAATTGTATATCTACATGTGATGATGACTGCATAGTGTGTACGTAAGCTGGGATCTGCCTGCTCCATGAACATGATTACATTTTATGTCAAGCCATGAACACAGTGGAGACTTATACAGGAAACAGTTTAAATGATAACATTCAGATTGTTTTACAGAACTGCTTTTACTATTGGGGATTTGCAGCATGGCTGGCTTACTACATCAACCACCCTCTTTATACTCCACCAAGTAAGTATTAGCAAATTCAATATTTCAAATAAACTTCTTTAAACACAATCTTCTATCTGAAATTCTACAATTTTATTTGTGTTCCATGTTTCACAGCATATGGAAAAAAACAGATAAGTTTGGCCATGATCATGTTTCTGGTGAGTATAATATGTACTGAAATGTATAGAAGAGTTTTTAATTTACAATTATAGAAGGTCACATAGTGTCAGGATCCAGAGCACCCCCAGGTGGCGCTGGAGCCAGGTCCTGCAGTTCCTGTGCTCGCCTGCGGGTGTCTCCAGCAGCCAGGGACTGTAAGGAGCCTGCAGCTCCAGTAATCACCTGCGGGTGTGCCCCAGCTGTGAGTGATCATCCCATCACCTGGTGCTTCCTGGGAGGGTATTTAGGCCCTCCCTGCAGTCAGGAAGCTGGCTCAGTATTGCGTCGCCTGCACTTGACTGATACCTGAACCCAGCTACCTGAACCCAGCTACCTAGCTGCAGACCTGTCACCGACCCGGCTTGTTACCCGACCACTCTTCTTGGATCCTGTTTCTGTACCGTGCTGCCCTCCTGTTAACGACCTAGCTTGTACCTGACCATTCTTCCTAAATCCTGTACTGTGCTGCCCTCCTGTTAACCCTCCTTGTTACTTCACTGCTAAACCTGTGGGGGGTTGAGGGGGTTAGTAGTTTTGTTTGATGTTAACAAATAAACTGTGCATAGAACCCTATCCTGTGTGGGCATATTAATTTGGTCATCCTGCGTGGGTACCTGCATGTGGTGTGAGGACGCCTGTGCATGGTACCCTGACACATAGCTGCTGTGTTCGTAGCAAAGAGGGTCCTATTCAGTTTAGAGGGAAAAGCACAGAGACCTCTTCTTCTCCAGCCATACATTTTCTCAAACTCTGGCCCTGAATAGGTTTTAGCCAGAAATTTGAAATACTGCCCCCCAACATTTCTGCTTGGACTAAATTTTCTCAACAATAATGAAGTTGCCATTGCAGGTACTGTGCCTGCTTCTGGAAAGATCAGGAAGTAGGATTTATGGGACTTTCTACACAAACAGTGTCCTGTATTGGCATAGTTGCAAGGAAACAACATTTAAATTTTTTGGCAATTTTGAAAATTATAGGAGCTGCAACAGGAATGTAATTAATAATGACGTTGACTTACAAAACGGTTTGAGCAGCAAGAAGTTTTCCATGCAAACTTTAGCATTGCATTGTGTTGCACATTAATGTGTGCTGGGTTAAGGCAGTCACTTTGTTTTGAATGGGCTGCAACACAATGCAGCCACAATTGGACATGACCTATTTATGACATGTCTAGTGAGTGAGTGTATAGATTTCTAGTGTGTTGGGGTGCCTTTGAAAATGTGAATGTGAATAAGCCCTTAAAATGTATGTCTGGGCAAAACAACAACAAAAACTTTGCATAATATCTCTGCAGTACTTATGCCTTTCTCCATGTTGTATTCATTTAAAAATGCTGCAAGTACAGAAAAATACCTGATGACTCTGTCAGGAATCCAGTGAGCTTCTAATTTCCTGTTGTTGGCTGACAACACTGCCTCTGCTGCACTGAAAGCCCAAGCAATGTCTTTAGCCCTGGCTGAGTTCTCCTTTGCTGGACTACAAAACTCCACCTATCCCCACCCATCTCCAAATCCATACCTTGATTCGTTTCAGCAAAACCATGCTTCTGCCTTGACTTCCAATAGCCTGCCTGCACACTGTGTGTAGGAAAAGGGTTTTTGGGATATGTAGCCCTGGGGGAATGCCTACATCAATAGGAAATAGCCCAAGGCACCCTGCTGATTGTTTTTTCCAGCAGTTGTCTCTGTAAAATCTTTACCTGTTTGGTTATATTGTCATAAGAAGTAATGGAAACTGTTTCCCGCAACAGGATAAAAGAAAAAAATATATAATGTTAGAAATGTTTCTAGAGGGGAAGAGGGAGGTTTGGGGGTAAATTTGGGGCATGCCTATACAAATCCTTTAGGCAGATAAGTGTATTACACCTTTTGTGAGTTCTATATTTCCACTCATGGTTCAATGAAATGCTGGTGGGGCCAAGTATTGACTTTTATAAGTGTATGTGGATATCAAATAAAATAAAATAAAATAGAATAGGAATTCAGAGCCATCACATAGAACATTTTCCCATTATTTCTCTGTGCGGTTGTGCCTGGGTGACAGTGTGCTGAAAATATCATTCAATGGCAGAAGCATACAGAAGGCACTCCTGCTTGAGTTTTATCACACACATCACAGTTCTCAAGTTGGCATCAGACAATTCTACTGGTGTGATATGGGTTGCCATGATACTATAACTTGTATTATTCACACGTGCATAATTTATCAAATTCTGAGATCAACTGGGCTTTGTCTGAACTGTTAATTAGATCTCTCTTCTTTACAGATGTGTGAAACTGGTAATTTCTCTATTCATGTAGCGCTGAGCAATCTGAGAATAGATGGTAGGTGCCTTTTTTCTTGTCTTGTGTAATACACTTTAAGCTGAAAATAAAGGACATATCATGCTGAATTTGTTCAGCGTTATGGTTGTTAAAATGGAGATTTAAGGGGGAACTTTCAATAACGTTGTGCTAGTACTATATCTCACAATTTGGCAGTGGCTGTTATACTGTCTAGTTATAGACAAAAGCTGCTCTTGTGTGAGAAGTATGTTGGATAGTTACTATGGTTAAGACTTTTACTACAGCAGATACATTTACATATGCAGGCTGGAAATATGGCACATGAGCACATAACACTCTTAGAACATAACATACTTGGAAGGGATGTACAGGTGAAACTCGAATAATTAGAATATCGTGCAAAAGTAATTGCAGTAAGTGCTGCAAAAGGGGCCCAAACCAAGTACTGAGTACATATGCATGCTTGTACTTTTCAGAGGTCCGATATTGTATTATGTACAATCCTTGTTTTATTGATTGCATGAAATATTCTACTTTTTTGAGGTTGTGGATTTGGTGTTCTTGGGGTTTTCATGAGCTGTAAGCCATAATCATCACAATTATGACAAATCACGGCTTGAATTATCTTGCTTTGCATGTAATGAGTCTATCTCATATATTAGTTTCACCTTTTAAGTTGTATTAGTGAAATAAATGAACTTTGCACGATATTCTAATTATTCGAGTTTCACCTGTACATAGTGGTCTAGCAAAGCCAGATGTATCAGGGAAATGCCATGGGGTTCATTAGCAGATTGCTTACATTTAGTCTGGTTATATAAAAAAAAAAAAAATCAAAGGAGTCAGACAAAAGATGATTGTTGTTTTATTTGTCTAGTGTCACCTAAGTTTGCAAATGACCAAGTGATCTCTGATATGCCTTGTCCAAGAAATGACAGAGAAAGAATTGGTTGGCCAGTTTGGATTTGCCTAGAAGATCACTAATATTCAGCAAAGATTAGCCTGGTTCCAGGGGTATCTGCAGAGTGAATAAACAAGCTTGCTTAGCGTGATCTTTCGCCCTCTTATGTCGATGTTTTAAAGGGGATTTATGGGAAAACTGAAAATCTCTGGCTTTTTGGGATGCCTCCATGAAGTAATAAGGTGGGAATCCTGTCCTACAGCTTAACGTGTTTTGTTTCTGGATAGAGATCTGAGTTTACATATTTTATTTTTATTGCAACCAGTTGTTGAAATTTAGTATTGCAGTGTGCCTATAAAATACAGTGGTTCTTTATGGGAAGCTATGATTTGCTGACCAGACTCCAGTCTGCCAAGTAATTTATGCTGCATTAGGATGTAGACCTCACTGTAGTCGGGGTCTGGAGGCGATGGACTGTTGCAAGGGGTCACAAATAAATAGATGATTTCCCTGTAATTTTAAGGAAACTTACCTTTAAAAGTGTAAAAATACCAAAAATTATGTTTTGCTGCAGCTTAGTGAATTTCATGCAGTATTACAGATTAAGAATTTTGGGGAACCCTATTGAGCTAATATATAACATGTTCGCAGCACATTACTGTCACTCGATAGAGCCAAGGAGCATAGGAAATTCCCAAGCCCATTGGTTTCATTTAGTGGCAGCAATGCTCTGCGAGCTACTGTATATGCTGTGTGACTGGGTTATAAATGAGCCTCTATGTGTTTGACCAGACTGAACAAGCATGTAATTACTTCATGCTTCATCCAGTCCTCTATGCTAAACCTATATTAAAGGGCCTGGGGCCATGTTCTCTTTCACATAGCTCTGTAATGCTCACAGCACAGTAGTCCTGGTAGAGGAAAAGGTTGTATGGGGCTTGTCTTTTGGGAGTGGTAAAATATCATACTCATCTTCTAAATAATGAAACCATATATTGGAATAACATCTTTTTATGAGGTTGTCTGTCAATTACTGCTTTATATCAGTTTGCTTCTTTACTCACCTTTAAGGTTCAAAATCACGAAAGTATCCCTTCCCAACACGAAATCCATTCACATGGTTATTTTTCTTTGTGTCATGTCCCAACTACACCTATGAGGTGAGTCCCTGCAGCTCTTTATAAGAAATCCATAAAATGCTATTATGTTAAGACGTGAGTCATTTCAGTAAAGGATATTGTAGAATGATCTGATCCCATTGCTTAGATTTCGATATAAAGTTCATAGTGTAAACTATCTATGAAAATTTGATTGTACAGACAGGGCCAGATTTACTTCCTCTGCTGCCTCAAGGCCAGGTTCCTTAATGTGCCCCCCTCCCTGCCAAATTTACCTCCAGATGGCAGAGCGGCTGGGATGGTTTTAATTCTTTTACTTTTTTTCTTTTAAACTTTTTTATCACTTGTACAGAACGAGCGGTGGCTTCCCCGCTCTACATTTAGCCCTGCTTGTCCGGGCGTCGGGAGATAGGAATTCCACACCCCTGCTGCCCCTCTACTCCCTGCTGCCCTCCGGCTCTGTGTACAGAAAAATCCTGAATTGATGAGATAACTATAGAAAGAATTGTATTCATAACAAAGCCTAAGCAGCTTGCTGCCTTCCAGATGCTTTTTGGGGGAGTGATGAAATCAGGCTTCAAGCCCCTAAATTATCTAGCCCGTTTTTTTTGCTTCATAGGATGTAATGGTCCATAAGAATTTGCATCCCCTGGCTTCCTACTATCCACTTTTCTCTAAGGTTTGCACCACTAAAAGCATGCATTAATGGCAGGCCATTTTCCGGACCAGATCTGGAACGAAGTGCATTGCGTTTTGTTGCGCTTTTACAGCGATTTTAAGTGTATGTATAAAGTCACTCGCACTCCAATAGGAGAGTTTTTATTTTAGCAGCTTAAAATGGGCTTACAGGTGCATTGCAGGGCATTCCAGTGCGTTTGTATGCACTTTTGATGCATTTCTATGCATTCCAGTGCATTAGAGACCAGACAAAATAACACAAAAAGTATTTTTCTGGTCTGGTCTGGAACAGACTGCGCTGGTGTGAACAGAGGCCAGAAATAGCATAGGGATACATTAGGATGCATTTTGGGTCCAGAAACAATTTGGTCTGGTCTGGAGATGATCTGGATGTGGTGTGAATGGGCCCTAACAGGAGAATGTTGGTAGTAGTTTTGATTAAAGCAGGTTTCTTGAATGTGTTATAATGACATGTCTGTGCAACAACTGCACAGTTACTTCTTCTGGTATCTCAGTTTAATATCCTACACACAGTAGTCATTTCTCAGTTTCTTAATAAAAAGGTTCTTTCATGTTGCCTGATAAAAATCATTTTCTGCTGTTTTACTCATTATTACTGACAACATTCTAACACCTTTCTGCAGGATTATGCATGTATTTTAGTAGTGCAAATATCAGAGAAAAATACTTTTTTTTAAATAAAAGCTGGCTAGCTGTGAAGCTAAGGAGGAAGGATGGACAGATTTGTTCGATGATATCAATCTCCCAAGATGCATTTGGAAGGCAGTAAGCTGCACAGGCTGCTTTTGCCAAGAAGTGCTGGGCATCTAATTTGTTTTTTATAGTTATCTTCATACTGTAAACTTTACTTCAGAAAATTGTATTTTGGTTATGTTTTGAGTCCACCTATCAGTCTGCTTTAAAGGAGAACTATGAGGTAAGTGATTTTTTTAAACTGTCACAGGTCGGCTCTATAGATCGGGAAGTGAGCGAACACATACTGTCGCTTGCTCACTTCTCGATCATGTCCCTACAGAGAGCCGTGACAGTCAGTCACGGCTCCCTGCAGGGATTCCCCCGTCCCCACTCCGATCCTCCAGCGCTGACTGGTGGAACGTACGGGGAGGGGATGGGTACAGCTGGCTCTGCCTCTAGATAGGCAGGGCCAGCTGTCAATCACGCAGCTGGGTGGATCTCGACAGTAATGTCGGGATCCGTCCCGGCTGCGGCGGTCTCAGTATACCGCGAGCTGTAGCTCGGGGGTATACTGAGCTTTGGGTGACGGGAGGACGCTAGTATATGTCCTCCCGTTACCCTTAGGAGAACTATGGGGAAAAACACTTCTCCTTTAAGTTTACTTTAAGACTGTATATCTGCTTTAATCATTTAAGGGGCATTCCAAAGTCAGTACTTTAGTTCTTGGCACTGGTATTTTTTTTAATGCACAGTTCTCACAATATTGAACAAGCATGCAGCGTGCAGCTCACCTAACTGCTACTTTGTTGTAAAGTGTCTCTAAGACTATAGTTGCCCCTAACATTTGACTAACAAGCGACACTAAACTCAGAAATTAAATAATAAAAATTAATTCTATTATATAAATAAAAAATAACTTTTTTTGTCATTGTTGATTCCTAAATGCTCCAAAATCTGTTTTATTTTTCTCCAGCCACATCTTCCTGCCAGAGGGTGGCTACGTTTCTTCTTCTTCATGGTCCCTATGGGAGCTGAAAAGTAGCCACAGGACTATGACATGCTGAGGGTGTGTCTTCTCAGTCTCCGCCCACAACTCCTCCCCTCTAGACTCTGCAAGGAGCTGGGATTTCTTCAGCTCTCCCACACTAATATATGATCTTTGATTTCTCTCCTCCTGGCTCACCAAGGAGGGAGTGTGCGGGGAGGAGAGGAGATTCAGCATGGGAGCTGTCACCAGCCTCTTACTTTCCTCTGAGTCTCCACTTACATGCGGAATCTGGTCACACACTCACACAGGATACGGCTCCTACATTTAAAATAAAGTTGTTTTTCTGTGTAGATTGTTGTAAATGTGATTGTTTGTTGTAGATTTGTTGTCCGTAGTTTTGATTCAGAGCATTGCAGAATAGATTACTAGCAGTGAAACTGTCACACTGTGTAGAGTGAGGAGAGGGGTGGAGGCAGCTGTGTGCAGTGAGAGATGCTCATGGGAGTTGACTGCTCTTACTAAGTGCCAGGAAGTGTGAGTGGAGAGAAGAGCAACGGGAGCGAGCACAGCAGACTTTCTAAATGGATTGAAAAAGTAAGACTTTATTTTAAAACATAAATAAATGAAGCTTTGGAGAATGTTCACTATGTAGATAAGGAGAAAAAAGCTGAGGGTTTTGTGTCGCTTTAAAACCTTAAAATTTAGCTGGATTCAGGTATAAATTATTATGCATATTTACATTGGTCTAGTTTGGTCCAATGTGAGTATGCATATGCCATACCTGATCGGCCCACGGGGATTCTGTAAAGCACTGTGGTACCCGGAGTTTCTAAAGTGCTGACAGAGATCTGTATGGTGCTGCGTGTTGGTTATGTGTTTAGATAAAGCACTGTGATCTTGATGCTGAATTAAAGGGTTATTAAACCCTCAAAGTTTTTTGCATATATCTACTACTAGCAAGCAGTGGATATATGCAAAAACATTGAAAAAAAACAACTATTCAACAGGGTTTAAACTTACCTGTGTCTCCGCCGCTCGCTCCCGTCCGAAGATCTGAAGATTCTCTGGCGGCCGTGAAGGATCATGGGTCGGGCATAGGTGCAGTTCAGATCTTCGGCTGGGAGAAGAGGAGAGACACAAGGTAAGTCAATGCAGGTAGCCCAGCAGCATGCACCCACACAGACTCCGTGGGACAGGAAGACACAGCAGTCAGCGCTGGATCAGAGACCGATAACAGTGTTGGAGGGACTGATGAAAACTACAGGAAAGAAGAAGATGAGCGGATCAAGAGGCATCATTTAAGGCAAATGCATACACCAGCATTGGGTCCCCCATTGGGGCGTTGGGGGGGGGGTGGAAATGTTTTGACTTTAATGTCACATTAAGTTTTACTTGCTTAGCAGAACATTACAAGAGAATACAGCATTATACAGCATACAGAACTTCCTGTATACTGTATATCATAGATAAGTATACTTAAGCATAGAGACTAACATTGCACTTCAGCGCCATCTACAGCTCTCTTGCGATTCCTTAATCACTATTTGCTGTTCCAGGGAGAACACCATCTATCTGACGAGATGTGCACAGAATGACTTCATAGGAAGGCAAAATAAAGCCGGAACACTGCACACGTGGCGACACCACGTCGCCAGACAGAGAGCAAGGGGCTACGGCCTCCTCCAAAGAGCGAGGCATCGATATTGTAGGCGGGCTACTTTTCCGTGGCCCACCCTGTATTTTGTTTGTTCAGCCCGCAGATTGAACAAAGCAAATATATTCGTGGATACCCTACTTTAACCTAACCCATGATAACATTTATCCCCCCCCATGCTTAAAACCCATCACTAAGAATTTATTTCTAAAACCTTACTTTAGCACTAAACATCCTGATCACTGGACCTAAGACTAAACTGACTGCTTGCACTGTATGCTTGCTACAATGAATCATCAATCTTGTTTTGGCAGCTCTGCATTAAAAAATAGCGGCATTGAACTGTCAGTGACAAGAACTACTGACCTGGCTAGAGTGGTGTAAGGCTGGGTTGTGATACATTTTGTGCACATATCTATTTGCCTAGATATTTATAAAGAATTGCCATATATACATATATATTATTTACTGTAACACTATTTGAATCATGTACTTTTTAGGTGGGAAGCTGGATTAGTTTCACAGTGATGACCCAGTGCGTCCCAGGTAAGAATTCTTACCCTAGATTTTTTACATACATGACTCATTAAAGTGTGTCTAAATCCAAAAACAAAAATGTTATATATTGCAGCTTACTAATCCTTAGATGTGATGGCTGCATTAGTTTCCATTTTTTCAGGCTAAGAATATTATCCTGCAAGTACATAAAATACATGTTGATCTTGCCAGAAATGTGGTGTCCCCATCACTTCTTGGAAGCTGAAATGACAGCAAAAATACGGTTGCCTTTTAAAAAAAAAACTGCAAATCTCATCAACTGCCATGTTATGAAGATGAACAAAGGCAGAATTGTCTGAAGTCCAGTCTGCATGTAAAGCATGAGTACAGAGCATAGTTACAGAGGAGAAATAAGTGTAGCCACAAAGGGATAGGAACTTATTTGTAGGATTACCAGGTGAAAAAAAGAAAACGAATGCAGGCATTACCAAGACGGCTAAGATGTAATATATTACATTTTTGTTTTGGGGTTTAGAAACACTTCAAATCTATCA